GCTATCGAAAAATAGGAAACATGCCATTTAAGACAGAAAAATGAGATTTTTACAATGAAAAGGCAAGAATTTTAGAAATTCTTAGCAAGGTTCACATATAAAATAATTCAATGGTTCTCAATTACTTATATAATTATAGCTTGGTTTTACTTGTGAGAACCAAATACAATATTAGCTCATAATCAACAAACACAAGAAATACTGTTTGTCACAAAAAAAATGCCTCTTTTGATGGCAAATAAATAAATAAAATTATATAGCATTACACAGGAGCCCCCACCCCCATTTTTCCTTTTCATTTAACAGGCACCCACCATTTTTTTCCTTTCAAGAGAGAAAAATAGGAGTTATACAATAAAATAAATGAGCCATCAAAATAAAGAAGACATAATCTTTAAGGCTTTAAAACGGGTCTTTAAATTCTTTCATAACTCATCCCTTTAAATAATGGTCCAGATATGATCCTTTCTTTTTTTTTTTTCTTTTTTTTTTATTGTTGTTTACATTATATTATGTAGTACAGTTTTATAGGCGCTGGGGATCCCCCCCACCCCTCCCATACCCCTCCCCCCATGGTGGATTCCTCCACCTTGTTGCATAACCATAGTTCAAGTTCAGTTGAGATTCATTGCTTGCAAACACATGCCTAGCATAAAGTTCAGCGTCTTATTGTCCAGATAAGTTCAGTGGCCTCTTGGGGAGACCTTCTATGGTCTGAAGATAGGTCTAACAGAGTAAAGATCTAGTCAGTTAAAAGCCCCAACAAGGCCTCAGTATCATTATACAACATTATGGAATTAATTGACATAGTATTGGGTAAACAATATGTTAAAAATAATGCAAGTTCCATTCTTCGAAACATCTGGGTTGAGACAGTATCAATGACAGGTTCAAAAAATAACAAACAACCAAACAAAAAATTACAAGTTAAATCAAGGCAAACATGTGGTATCTAATCTTTTGGGATTCGCTCATTTCCCTTAGCATTATAGTTTCCAGTTGTGCCCATTTAGCCACAAAGAACTGCATTTTGTTTTTTTTAATAGCTGAGTAGTATTCCATGGAGTAGATGAACCAAAGCTTTCTCATCCAATCTTCTGCTGATGGGCATTTCGGTTGCTTCCATGTTTTCGCAATTATTGATTGTGCTGCAATGAACATAGGGATGCATGTTGGTTTGTCGTAAAACAGGTGTTTTGGATATATTCCTAGGAGTGCTATTGCTGGGTCATATGGTATGCAGATTTTGAGTTGTTTGAGTGTTCTCCAGACTGATTTCCATAAAGGCTGTACCAATTTGCAGCTCCACCAGCAGTGGAGTAGGGTTCCCTTTTCCCCGCATCCTCGCCAGCAAGCGTCGTTGGTGTTCTTGTTTATGTGGGCCAATCTTACTGGTGTTAGGTGGTACCTCATCGATGTTTTAATTTGGATTTCCCTTATTGCTAGGGAGCTGGAACATTTTTTCATATATTTGTTTGCCATTTGGACTTGTTCCTTTGTGAAATGTTTGCCCATTTCCCGTGCCCATTTCTTGAGTGGCTTGTTTGTTTTGGTTTTTTGGTTGTTTTGAAGTTCTTTGTATATCCTGGGAATTAGCCCCCTATCGCCTATATCGTGTGCAAAGATCTTCTCCCACTCTGTGGGTTGCTTTTTTACTTTGTTGATTGTTTCCCTTGCTGTACAGAAGCTTCTTAGTTTGATGAGGTCCCATTTGTTTATTCTGTTCTCAACTGCTATTGCTTTTGGTGTCCTTCTTAGAAAGTCAGGACCTACTCCTAGGTCTTGCAGGGTATTTCCTACATTTTCTTGCAAGAGTTTGAAGGTTTCTGGATGTAGGTTTAGGTCTTTTATCCATGTAGATTGGATCTTAGTGTATGGTGATAGATGTGGGTCTATCTTTTTGTTTCTACAGGCTATCAGCCAGTTGTCCCAACAACATTTACTAAAGAGTCCTTCCCACTTGCTTAAGCTGTCATTGGTCTTTTTGTCAAAGATTAATTGGCTGTATCTGTGTGGATTCCCTTTTGGTGCTTCTATTCTATTCCATTGATCTTCCTTTCTGTCTTTGTGCCAGTACCAGGCTGTTTTGATAACCACTGCTCTATAGTATGTCCAGAGGTCTGGGATTGTGATTCCCCCTGCTAATTTCTTATTTTTCAGGATGGTTCTAGCTATTCGTGGTTTTTTGTGTTTCCAGATGAACTTTTGAATCATTGTATCCAGTTCCGTGAAGAATGTTTTGGGCAATTTGATTGGAATTGCGTTGAAAATGTATATTGCTTGTGGTAGTATAGACATTTTAATGATATTGATTTTGCCTATCCAGGAGCACGGGATGTTATTCCATCTTTTGAGGTTTTGTTCAATTTCCTTTTTAAATAGTTTGTAGTTTTCTTCGAATAGGTCTCCTACACTTTTGGTTAGATTTATTCCCAAATACTTCATACTCCCTTCTTTTAAAGGGAGAGAGATTTATTCATTTGAAAGGTAGAGTGACAAAGAGAACAAGAGATACATAGAGACGTTTTCCACCTAATTCACTCACTAAACGGCCAGAAAAGCTAGGACTGGACCAGGCAGAAGCCAGATACCCAGAATGTCATCTGAGTGTCCCACATGGGTGACATTTGTGTCATCATCCACGGCTTTCCCAAGATGTATCAGCAGGGAACTGGACTGGAAGTGGAGCAGACAGGACTTAGGTCTAATATGGGATAGCAACTTAACTCACTGTGTCACCACATATGGCTGGCCCCCTTATAGTATTACGTGGCTTCTGCAACCTGCTCAAAGATGGATACAGTCTCTGGCATGTGGGTGCTCTCCTAGGGTGCTTGCCTTTCTTAAAAGCCCAGCATCTTGTGACAAAGTCTAGGCCACATGTGGGTGCTCTAGCCAACAGTCCCTCCAAGATGCCTGGTGGGATGCCAATAAGTGGCTTGTCACATAAGGGACCAGCTGGCAATCAAAGCAACTGGCCTTGCAGTCCCAGATACTATGGAGCAGAGATAAGCCATCCCTGCTCTGTGCTCTGAATTTCTAACCCAAGGAAGCTGAGGTAATAAGGGATGCAGTTTTTCTAAGTTAACAAATGAGGTCATTTATTTTGCAATAATAAAACAATTCTCTAGAATGTACATTCATCGTATAGAAGGATTTTTTTTAAGATTTATTTATTTTTATTGGAAAGGCAGATATACAGAGAGGAGGAGAGACAGAAAAGAAGATCTTTCATCTGATGGTTCACTCCCCAAGTGACTGCAATGGCCGGTATTGCGCTGATCCGAAGCCAGGAGCCAGGAGCTCTTCCGGGTCTCCCACGCAGGTGCAGGGTCCCAAGGCTTTGGGCTGTCCTTGAGTGCTTTCCCAGGACACAAGCAGGGAGCTGGATGGGAAGCTGGGCCGCAGGGATTAGAACTGGCGCCCATATGGGATCCCAGAGTGTGCAAGGCAAAGAGTTTAACCACTACGCTATCGAGCCTGGCCCAAAAGGATTTTTTTTTCCAAACTGGAGAAAAACCATTATACAAACCAATTACAGAATACATACCCCATTCAATAAATTCAGAAGGTTTTATTTGGGTAGCAAAACTAAACTGCATTAATTTAAACTTTACTAATTTTAAATCTAAGATGATTTAGACCAAATTTGAATGTTCGGACTGAATGTTACCATTCAAGTACCTCTGGAAAGGAGAGTTGAGTTAATCTCAAGCAAAGAGCATACGTTGCTTTCTGGTACTTTGAAAGTGTGAAGTAACTCTAGGCAGAAAGCATCCAATAGTTATTCGGTGTCAAATGAACATGAGATGCCTCAAGTTCTTATTCATTCTTCACACACTACTTCCATTGAATTCCTATTAGGCAAACTGGTCAGTTTAGTGCGAGCAAATTACCTGTGCACACATATTTTCACTTCTCCTAACTACAGGTGAGCTCCCTCAGGGGGTTCCTTGCCGCATCCACCTCTCCATTCTCAATGACAACACAATGTTGTCAAGTCACACACTTAATGAGTATTAATTCAAATGATTAAAGTGTCACTATGAACTTGAAGCTAAATTCCAATTTACTTTACATTTTTTAGTAATTTGTCTTACATTCTCTCACAATTATATTAGTAGAATTTTTAGTGTATTTCCAAAGAGGATACCACGTACTTTTTTTTTACCTTTTATGAATTTATTCGTAGTGAAAATGAGTATACAAAGGCTTTGCATACATCCCTGGTATTCACTAGTGCTCCCTCCTGGGACAGGACAGTGCCCGTGCAGCTCCGGCCCAGGCTCAGAGAACGGCACCTCGGGGACGCACTGCACAGCGGGCGCCTCACTCCCTTCTCCACCTCACGACGCAGAGACCCAGTGCACAAGCTCCCCCCGTTAGACAGCAGCTTCTTTTTAAAGGATTACAAAGATATACGTCTCTGCTGGGAATAGAAAACAATGAAGGCATCTAATTTTAGTTGATTCCTCTAGTTGAGTCAGAAAGGAGATCAAACTTTGACAGTGTTCTAAGGCCTATCCTCAGACTTGTACTGCTCATTAAATCCAAATTTTTAAACTCTTATTTATAGGCTATAAATAAGGCATTTGTACTTTTCCTAGTTTCAATGCACATATGATGTGCAGTAACAAGGTCTAGATTCAGGTGTCTAGTCCCACCCTTAGCTCTAAGGTCCCGAATAAGCCACTACAGACCTCCGCCTTCACTCACACCAAACTTTCATCTTTCACGAACTTCCTCCCAGATAAGCAAACAGAGATCAAATGGTAACATTCTGCTCAAGTGGCTACACATACAGAAGTAAAAGATGTCATGTCTATCCTGCTGGCTATTTTCTTACTTTTGACCGACATTTCTGTGTACTTTAAAATAAAAACTGCTTATTTTCAGAACTATGAAAGTCATAAGGCAAATTAAGCACCAAACTAGTCAGATTAATATATCCACTCATCCATTGTTATATTAAGAAACAGTAATTATAAAAACAGGTAAAATTGTGTAAAATGTATCTCTTTATTCCAGCTTAGGAGTTCTTGCCCATATCAAGGGACTGTCTGACATCGGACACTGCATCAGGTACTCGAACAGTCATATTGTCCATAGACTTTGTCAAACAGATTTGGCAGCCCAACCGTGATCTGCGCAAAAAGGGAAAAAGTATAGTTTAGTAGTAAGCATATACTATTCACATTGTTACAAGTTCCTATTCCAAAGCAGTTAAACAGTTTATTAATACTTTTCGTTTCCTTGTCTAAACAGATATGATCAATCCTGTCAACCAGAGGTTACAGAAAGTCAACATGAAAAACAAAGAAACCTACAGTGCTGAAGTTTCACATTAGCCTTCAGTTTCTACCACTGACGACCAAAACTACTGCTATTCACTATGTTCCCACTGGGTAAAAGAGCTGGCAAGCACTGAAATCATCAAAGGGTATAACTCAGTGCAGAAAAGAGGCCAGGAGTAAGACCAAGACAATAACTAGCCAATTTTCAGATAACTACAACTATACAGACTATAAAAAGAAGCTACACTATTATAAAGGCCTAAAAAACAAGAAATTTGGAATAAACACCTAGAGATAGGTCAGAAATGGTAAGAGTATTTTTCCCACTCTTTTAACCTCTTTGAAGCTAAAACAATCCGAGTATCAATGGCAGCCCACAGTCACTGCTACCCCGGGGGGAACACTAAAGCTGTAAATTCAGCTACAGAACTCACACAGGTGTCGCTTCAACTCGGTTCTAGAAACTATGTTAGATCGCCTGTGAATGTTAAAGCCTTTCCAAGTAAGTTCACAGATTGCAAAACAAACAGCAACACAGAAACACAGCAGAGTATAAACCAGAAATTAGCAAACCTAATTTTTGTCATTGGAACAATGACCATAATTCCATTTCCTTTTTTCTTACAGAACTACCACTAATTTTATTTTATTTGTACTTTCTGTTTTAAACAGCTGTTATTTAAAAACTATAAATACATCTAAATGACTTTCAATATGCACAAATATTAAGCAATAAGGTGACACTGTGACATGTATTAATTAGCAGTGCTTTTCTTAGTTAACACATAAAAATAAATGTTAGTTTTTTAGTTAAATTATCCTTGATTTAATGAAATGTGAAAAGCAGGTCTTGGTTTTGTCAGTGTGTCCACAAAACATTCCTCAATTACCCAGAAGTACAGTACCAAATTCCAGTGAGCAACTCAACTCAGCAGTCTACATTTAACACAGAAGAGATAGCACAGCAGTTAGAACCACGCAAGTGGTCCAGTACCCAGCACTTACTACAACTTGCTTACAGATAACTTCCTCTTCATTTCCTAAACTAATTTTCAAGATGGATAACAAAAAGGGTCCTCACAGGACTGCTAGGAGGATTAGCTAATTTTCAAATAAAGAAAGGGAACATGAATATGCAAATAAGAAAGCACATGGATAACTACCTTTTGAGACTGACAAAGCTAGGAGACTGAAAACAAACCAACTGTGAAAGTCAAGAGGAAGTAATACTTCTGACCAGAGGAGATGGTGCTAGAAGGAGCTCTGCAGGATGGGTTAACATTTAAGTCAGTACATAAATAAACAAATGGACAGAGCATTTATGCAAGGAAGTTGAAGGCACTTATCAGGCAACACGGGTATTGTAACCTGACTGCTGTACAGCACAGAGAGGATGACGGGGCTTGAAAGGTGGTCAGGGACACAAGGAGCTCTGAGTGCCAGTCAAGGGGTGGTAACTGAACAGTGAGAGGTCAGGGAGAGTTTGGAGTAAAGGTGTATGACCAACCATAGGAAATACTGACTGCTGATAGGAAAAAACAACACTGTCTTCCACCAATACGTCTTCCTTGTAGAATTACAAACAGACTTGAAGATACTCAATTATGTATTAAGCTCTGTCTGCAAGAGAAAATGCAGCAAACCAGCTTGGACAAATTCATTAGTCCTAGAGAAAACTTGCTCTTAACATCATAAAGAGAAATAAGATAGTATTACTCTTCGAGGAACTGTTAATTTAGTAAGAAGAAACAGTCACCAGTGAAACCAGGTAAATGCAGCAAGAGTAGCGACAGAAAAACACAAAGTGTGTCACAGGAACAAGGAAAGGTGGCAGCCCTCTCTCTCCTCCCACGAGAGGAAGCAGTGCAGGGCTAGCTGTTTCCTTCCTCTATCTCCTTCATGCTTTTGGACTCCACTATTCAGCCAAAACAGACAATGCCTTACACCTCTGGAGGAGACAGGAGGCAAGGCTTCCTTCATTTCCCACAACATTCTGACATTTGTGCAAATCAGTCCCTCTTGTCATCTACCACAATACATGGAAAGAGGAAAACACAAAGGATATTTACTTTCCTTCTAAGATTCAGTTTTCGAATCAGAGCAACAGCTTGAAATTGTAAAACACCAAGGGCTTGGAGCCCAATGGAAAGCTAAATTCAAGTCAGCCTCTGAAATGTGCTGTCAGCAAACATACGATGAAACCTAATTTCCCACCTATAAGATGGTTATAATACTATCCAATCCTGAAGATTAGAAACAATTTTCCTTGTGTGTCTGTACGTTTTAGTGAATATCCAACACCGAACTGTTCCAAGAGCTTCCCATGTATTCATTCATTTCACACAGCCCTCCCTAAGTGCAAGGTACTAGTAACACCATCTTCTAGTACAAACTGGAGGCTCTGTGCAAACTGTTCATGGGAACAGCTGACAGGCAAGAAAGAACAATCAAAAGTAGATTCAGAGATAATTCTTGAACTTCGGGGCCAGCATTGTGGCATAGTGCTTAAAACTGATACCTGCAATACCAGCATCCCATTTGTGTACTGGTTTCAGTCCCAGCTGCTCCACTTCCAGTCCAGCTCCCTGCTTGTGGCCTGGGAAAGCAGCAGAGGATAATCCAACTGTGTGGGCCCTTGCAGCCACATGAATGACCAGGAAGAAACCACTGGCCCCTAGTTTTGGAATGGCCTAGCTCCAGCTGTTGCAGCTACTTGGGGAGAGAACCAGAGGATGAGAGACCTTTCATTGCCTCTCCAAAACTCTACCTTACAAACGAATAAATCTTTCTAAAAGACTTTGTGAAAATTCTTAAATATCCCTCCCATCAACTATTAGTTCCACAATAGTTGTTGATCTCTTATTGTGGATCTGACACTTGAGATGCAATGATGAAATAAGATACGGGGTCCTGGGACTAGCACAGTAGCTAATCCTCTGTGCTGTAACACTGGCACCCTTCCATTTTGGATGCCAGTTCATGTTCCAGCTGCTTCACTTTTTTTTTTTTTTAAGATTTGTTTTTATTGGAAAGGCAGATACACAGAGTGGAGAGACAGAAAGATTTTCCATCCGATGAGTCACCCCTCAAGTAACGCAACAGCCAAAGCTGAGCTGATCTGAAGTCAGAAACCCGGAGCCTCCTCCAGGTCTCCCATGTGGGTGCAGGTTCCCAAAGCCCTGGGCTGTCCTTGACTGCTTTCCCAGGACACAAGCAGGGAGCTGGATGGGAAGCAGGGCGGCCAGGATTAGAACCAGCACCCATATGGGATCCTGGCGCCTTCAAAGGGGAGGATGTTAGCCACTAGGCTACTGAGCCGGGCCCTGGTTCACTTCTAATCCAGCTCTTCCTGTTTGTGGCCTGGGAAAGCAGAAGATAGCCCAAGGTCTTGAGACCCTGCACCCACATGGGAGATGCAGATGAAGTTCCTGGCTCCTCGCCCTTGGCTTCAGAACAGCTCAGCTCTGGTCATTGTGGCTATTTGGGAAGACTTTCTGTATCTCTTCTTCTTCCTCTGTAAAATCTGCCTTTAAAAAAAAAAAAGCCATGGGAGCCAGTGTTATGGCACAGTGGGTTAAGTTACCATCTATAACGCTGATATCCCATATGGGTGCCAGTTCAAGTCTCAGCTGCTCCATTTCCAATTCACCTCCCTGCTAATGTGCCTGGGAGAGCAATGGAGGATGGCCAAGTGCTCAGGCCCCTACACCCCATGTGAGACCTGGGATGGAGTTCCAGGCTCCTGGCTGCGGCCTGACCTAAGTCTGTCTGGCTAACACAGCCATCTGGAAAGTAAAGCAACAGATGAAAGATATGCCTCTATCTGCCTATCTCTCTATCTTCTCTCTCTGAAATTCAGTCCTTCAAATAAAACAAAGGTTGGATGCATGGATGGGAAAGAGGATAATAGCATAAAAGGCAGAGATGGAAGTGGAAAAGGGAAGACAGAAATGAGAAAAGAAAAAGAAAAGAGACACCAGCCCGGCTCCAACAGAACAGGGAGGTAACCTGTATGGAAACAGACATACGAGAGCACACACTTTCAGCCCATCCGGCCAAGGTGAAGTACAGCTGATAAACACTGAAGCAACAGTGTTTTAACTTAAAACTGAAAGACATCTAAACAGCACTTAATTTTAAAATAACCATAAAAACTAAATGGCCAAATTTTCCTATTTATTTGTTTTGGAACTATATGGTACCTTAAAAATGGGAATTTACATGTGAGTAATTGTTTTGAGCAAAATTCCATTCCAAATACGTCCCAGTGTTTGTAGTGCTACACAAAACACATTTTATTCCCTTGTTACCAACTCTCTCTAGGAAAATTCCAGGTCCTTCTAAAAATGGAAAATTTTCTTAGGGATATTCTTGGCTACTTTACATTTATTTCGGACCTTTGCATCCTTTTAGATTCTGTTTCTCTTCTATCTGGAGCTCTGCCTCTTTTCTTTTTCTTTTTTGTTAGGATGTAAATACACCTACAGATTTTATCACATTGAATGGGCACACTCTCATTTAGAAATCAGATTCTCAAAACCAAACTAATAATCACCAAATGCCCTTGCTAGAATTATTCTTTGGGGGGAAACTGAGGAGCGAACAGAAGGTGTAAGGGAGGGACAAGTGAATGACAGCCACAGTCTACTGTCTTTCCCAGCGTCTCTTCCAGGGTCCCAGCCTCACTTCCACCGAGAGAGAAGCATAAAATACAATTCTTCATCAGTAAATAAACGCAAATGACGTGAACATTTCTGTGAGGATAACATGACAAAGTGGCTAACAACTGTAGTTACATAATACACATGAAATGAATAAGGCTACTCCTATGGCTACTTTTAGCTTTTAAGAAATTCTTTTTCAATAGGGTCACCAAATTTCAGCTAAACAAACATAACCTTAATTAAATAACATACCCTCATTAGCTTTCCTCTTTGAGACAGTAAGCCAGTTAGCTAAATTTCTTGACTCCAACCAAAGTCTAGATAATTTGAAAAGCACTGTGGTATCACTTGATGTCATTTCCTTTTTTTTTTTTATACCATTTTAAGACATAGTTTCATAGGCTCTGGGATTCCCCCAGCCCCTCCCCAAATCCTCCCCACATACTGAATTCCTCCATATTGTTACAGTAGTACAGATCATATCCAGTCATGATTCCTTCATTGTGGGCATGGACCATGCGGAGAGTCCAGCATCTTATTGTCCAGATAAATTCAACAGTTTCACTGGGACACCATCCTTGGTCTGAAAGTAGAGCTGGCAGAATATCATCTCCTCCAATGAGATGTCAGATGCCACTTTCTATTGTAAAATCTTAACCACTTAAGAGTAACTCTACCTATTAGTTAAAAACAATAGACTAATTTTAATATACTTTTAAAAAGCCTTCTTGATTTTAACATAATTACTGTTCTATATTAAGTTTCTTTAAAAATTCTATTCTCTCAAAAAGGAAAACTTTGAACTATAATTATCAAATCCATCCTTCAGGAATATTGTAAAGAGCACTAAACTTACTTCCATCCATTAAATTATAATAAATTTTAATTCTCAGAGTAAAAATAAACTAAAGAAGTTTTAGAATCTAAAACTTCCAGTTATAATACTTCCAATTAATTTTGTTTTACTTCTGTAAAAAAGAAAATTTCATAAGGACTAAATTGTGCGAAAGCAAAAACAAAGAGAAACGCCACATGTTTGCCACCTAAAGCCTGCAGCTAACTTGAAATCGACACACTGTAATAAAAGGTACCCTCCCATGCTGCTAGTACAACTGAGGCAATGCTCAACTTTTACCTGTCTGTCAGTCCATACGCCAGGTCAAGCATGTCATTCTCCTCATCAGTGACCGGCTGTAACTTGTCATATATGTGTTCTTCAAAAATGAGGTGACACGTGGAGCAGGCCAGGGTTCCCTCACACGCACCTGCAAAAGCAGCACCTGGTGAGCACGCTCCCCTCTATAGGAAACACTGTTCACACTGAGCTCATTCAAGTTACACCTTCTGACATTTCAGAACACAAGAACAAAAGGACTCTCTCTCTCACTAACAATGAAAATTAAGAACAATTATTCTACTCTCAAAACCACCCACAGAGTTTGAAAGCACTCATTTCACAAAGATTCTGGGCTAGACCTTGTGAAAGCAAACATAAAAATATGTAGGCCCAATATCAAAAAGTTAATCAGTTAATAAGCGGAGATATATGCACATACAGAACTATGCATCTGAACACTTACATGGCAATATTTTGCATCAAAACTATGCAAACTATACACCTTTTCCTTTTTCCTTTTCCTGGGGAGCACAATACAGTTTATGGAAACTTGTGTCGTAGGGGAGAACTAGAACACAACCAAACTTACACTTGTCTCAAGTTAAATATCCTTTCCTTTTAGTTACCCCTTACATTCAGGACAGAACCAAACAAACCATTTTAAAATTAGCTGTGTGTGGTTTTACATGAGGGAAGAATAGTTTTTCAATTCTTCCAATATTAACTCATTATTTACTGAGCACATACTATGTACTGAGCACCATGAAAAAAAGATAACTAAAAAATTCATCCCACCGAAGCATCCCACCCACTCTTCTACAACCTCCCTCTCCCAGGGCTACCCACTGTCTGCTTAAAACATCTCATGACAGAAAAGCAGTTGCTGTAGTAAGTCAGCCATTGTTGCCAATCACAGAGCTGAAATCTGTCACTCACTTTGCAACTCTCACTTACTGGTCCACTCTTACCCACCAGAGTAGAATCTACACAGTACAATTTTCTTGTGCACCTGAAACGATTCTTTTTCCAGCCTGAGCATGCCCAGAAGCTTTTAGATTGTTCGTACATAAAAAAGCTTCAATTCATTGCCCTTGATCTGGCTAGGCTTTTCTTAAAATATGACATCTACAGGCTGGCACTATGGCACAGGCTAATCCTCTGCCCTGTAGTGCTGGCATCCCATATGGGAGCCAGGCCATGTCCCGGCTGCTCCACTTCCGATCCAGTTCTCTGACTATGGCCTAGAAAGCAGCTGAGGATGGCCCAAGTCCTTGGGACCCTGCACCTTCGTGGGAGACCTGAAGTTTTTGGATCCCAACTTCTGAGCAGCTCAGCTCCAGCTAATGCAGCCATTTGGGGAGTTAACCAGCAGATGGAAGATCTTTCTGTCTCTCCTCTCTCTCTGCTCTGTAAAAATCTGCCTTTCAAATGAAAATTAACAAATCTCTTTAAAAATATGACATCCAGAACATATTGGTATGAAGGCTACACACATGCTCAGGGTCCAGTCTTTCACAGCGAGTTGTCACAAAGGAGTCATTAGCCACGTGGTTACACACACCTATCACTCATCTCTCCTCTGGATCCAGCTCCTGCAGCTCTGGTGGATGTCAATATCTGCTATACATACTAGAAGCTGATAAAAGGATTTAAGCTGGAAAGTGGCAACTTTTGTTTTGAATAAACCTCAATAATCAGTGTATGAAGGACACAGTTGAGGTGAACAAGACAGAAGCAAAAGTTGTAAGATATCACCAAGGGGAAGGGGGTCAACAGGAAAGAAAAGGATACGGGCATTAGAAGCAGAGAAGGCCAAGGAGATAATCCACTGAGAAGGGAAGTGAAGGGAAAAATTATCTAAAAAAAAAAAAAGAGATGTCATGGAAGTGCAGAGGGGAAAGCCAAGGGAGGAAGAAGGGGGCTGCAACACAGTTTCTGTCATCTTGGGATGGAGAGAAAGATTCAGACGCCAAGACGGTCCCCTTGAGGAATGCAGGACACAGTCACCTATCACCTGGTCAAATGGAGAGCTACCGCTCCTGTTCCACTCTCGACTGGCTTCATACTCACCCCTCCCCCCACCCCACGAAACCTCAGTTCTGTTTTCCATCACTCAAAACTCTTACTTCTACTGGCTAATAATTAGCATTGCGCTTCTCACAAACCATACCAATTATTTTCAGATCTTAAGTTGCCTTGCCCAGAACTGAAAACAGTATTCTAATTAAGCATCTGACAAAAGATAAATACACAGAGATTAACTTTGGGGTTCCACACGCTATATTCCACATGTTCTAGTCCCACATCTGCAAACAAATGCATGACTTCATACTCCTTACTTCACAACCCTTTCAAACTTTTTTCTGCCACAAAAAGTTGTCAACAGATGACACTTTTTTTTTTTTGGCCTAGAGAGAAACTCAAATATAACAAACTATAAAACTCAAAATGAAATCCGCTGCAAGCGTGTGAAAGGGCCAAGCAGCAGTGAGCCAGAGAAGCACTATGCACACACTGGGCTATATGTTTTACTCCAGAAACAAATTTGTAGGAAAGATTTCCAAGAGCCCGTGGATAGCACTTATTCAGAGAACTATTCAATTCTGTAATATGTTGTAGTAAGTAGGCAATCTGAGTTTTACAGTTTGATATTTAACCTACAAAAAAGTAAAACATGTATCTGAAAAGGATGGTTAGAAGGGGAAAAATCAATTAAGCTTTAGATACAGAAGCAGCCTAAAACTAGGAGAAGTCTCTTTAAAATCACAATTGTTACTGCTTTTCTGTTGTTTTCACCAGTTACTGCTGACTTCCTAATGTTGTATTCTCAACTTATCAGTTTCTTCATTTGATAATTACAAGTAACCACCAAATAATCATCTGATTTGTCTTTTTTGGGGTGAAGTTCTAAAAATCTAACACATGTAGTGATGTGTGTAACATCTACCATAACCTGCATTCAAAAGGTTCCCTTTCGCCCTTCCCCCGATTCCCTAACCGTCACTGCTCTGGCCCCATCATTGTCCTTCAGCCTTTTCTAAATTATTTACATAGCTCACATAGCACAGAAAATTCTAAAACTGGTTTCTTTCACTCACAACAATGTCTTTAGGATGCATCTATTTCCTGTAGGTGCCTATTTTTAATAAATAGCCAATTTTTGCATTAGATATGAGGTTTAGGGCAGCATACTTTTTTTTACCCCATAGGAATATCCAGTTGCTCTAACATTATTTACTGAAAAGTAAATCATTTCTTAAGTAATTAATTGCCTCTGCACCTTTCTCAAAACCCCCCAGGTAATAGCCGAGAGGCAGAAACAGCCAGAACAGCCAAGTGATGAGTAAACACGAGGCCACACATCAGTAAGACAGAATGTGGTCACAGAAAAAGGATGAAGTGCTGATAGTTTGTACAACTTACACAACCTTGAAAACACCTTACCAAGTGAAAGAAGTGTCACAAAAACCACCCCCTATGTGATTTCATTTCTAGGACATGTCTAGAAGAGGCAAATCAGCAGCTACAGGAGGAATTCAGGGGTCACTTGGGAAATGAAAGGTTGAGGAAAGCCAACGGTTAGAGAATTTGCTTGGAGGGATGAAAATATTTTACAATTGAGTATATTCGCAATCTTATAGATTTCTCTTATTATCTGAAAGGCAGAGTTACAGTGGGTTTTGGAGGGAGATAGTAAGAGATCTTCCATTTGCTGATTTACTCCCCAGTGGCCACAATAGCAGGAGCCAAATGAATCAAAGCCAGGAGCTTCTTCCAGGTCTCCCACATGGGTGCAGGGGTTTAACCACTTGGACCACTTGTGGCTTTCCCCAGCCATAAGCAGAGAGCTAGATCAGAAGTGAAGAGCTAAAACACAAACTGGCCTTGCAGATGGAGGCTTAGCCTACTATACCACAGCACCGAGTATGTACACAATTCTGAACACTTAAAAGCAAAACACTGAAGGCCTTAAGTGGATGTATGCTATGTGAATTGTATCTCAGCACATTCTGAATCTTGGTTTCCAACTGTTCATTGTTAATAATATAAAAATTCTATTGATTTTTGTGTATTACCTGAGTCCTAGGACCTCACTGACTTCACTTACAACACTTAAGAAGCTTTTTGTGGGTTTCTTACAATTTTTCTATGTAAAAGCATGCCATTTAAAAACAGCTGGCTTTGTTTCTTCCTTTTTGCATGTATGCCCTTTACTCTCTACCCTTCCTCAGTCTCTCACACATTGGCTGAGATTTTCAACGTGAGAACAAGTAAGATGAGTGTGAGCAGACTTCCTTGGCACACACATATCATGCCGACGTATACACATGTGCATAAAGGGATCATATTTTGTGAATAATGTCTTCCCAAAGATTTCAAAGATTTTAGAAGTTTCCTTTTTAAGAGTCGTTTTCTCAATGATATAAAATGTCAACAGGTTATATCCGTGGATTCCTGCCACCCGAACCGAAAATCCAGATGGAACACCTGGCTTTGGGCTATAGCCCAGACCCAGCTCCACCTGCTGCAGGCACATGAGACAGAAAACCAATCTGTCACTCTGCCTTTCAAATAAAAACTCTTAAAAGAATAATGCATATTGACATTGATAACAGAATGTTTCAGATATCTCATTACCAAAATCAAAAAGTGATAGTATGTTAAATAGCTTGATTTGCTCAGTTTAGTAGCCAGACAAGCCTCCACCAGAATGCTGACATCCCATAAGGCCCTGGTTCTAATCCCGGCAGCTCCACTTCCCATCCAGCTCTGTTAATGCACCTGGGAAGGCAGCAGCAGACGGCTCCAGTGCCTGAGCCTCTGCACCCAGGTGGGAGACATGACTGGAGCTCTTGGTGCTCAGCTTCAGCACTGCAGCCATTTGGGGAGTGAACCAGTACAGAGAAGATCTTCTACCTCTCTTCCTCTGTGTAATTTTTTTTTTAAGATTTAATTATTTTTACTGGAAAGGCAGATATACTGAGAGGAGGAGAGAGAGAGAGGAAGATCCTCCATCCAAGTGAGCGCAATGGCTGGGGCTGAGCCAGTCCCAAACCAGGAGCCAGGAGCTTCCTCCAGGTCTCCCACACGGGTGCAGGGTCCCAAGGGTTTGGGCTGTCCTCAACTGCTTTCCCAGGCCACAGGCAG